CCAAAAGGAAATATATGTCATAACTATAAAATTCACCTAAATGATGTTAAGAAACTATATAAATATACAATAATGTAATAAAAATTAATTACAGAACTACAATGAATAAAATATGCTACGTGATATTTCTTTCTCCTAATATAATATGAACTGCTAAAATACATGTATTTTCCTTGTTGTTGCATTAAACTTTATGCATGTATCTTACTCAGTCAGTGCCCTACCAGAGAAATAACAGATTTTCATGAATCATATTTCCATAAATCTATCTCAACATTTTAAACATTTAAACGAATTCAAGTAAATGATCATGCGCTGATAGGTTATGTTGTTTTAATATGTCATAATTAATGTCTTTATTTTTAGGTTTAGGCTTGTATTGTGCATTGTGTATATTCTGTCGAACAATTCTGTATACTTGATTTATTTTTGTGTGCCCTAGTTTTGTCATAATTAATGTTTTTTTAATGCATATGCGACGATGGTGGCGCCTCTTTTGGAGAAAATATAAAGCTCCATTCAATGCCCGTACAGCGCTAATTAGTAAATGGCAAAACGCTCAAACTGCTAGCCAAACAGTGGCGCCTCTTGCGGCAAAAACTGGAAGCTTCTTTCGAGGTCCGTACAGCGCCAATTAGTCCGGTGGCAAAACGCTCAAACTGCTAGCCAAACAGTGGCGCCTCTTGCGGCAAAAACTGGAAGCTTCTTTCGAGGTCCGTACAGCGCCAATTAGTCCGGTGGCAAAACGCTCAAACTGCTAGCCAAACAGTGGCGCCTCTTGCGGCAAAAACTGGAAGCTCCTTTCGGGGTCCGTACAGCGCCAATTAGGCCGGTGGCAAAACGCTCAAACTGCTAGCCAAACAGTGGCGCCTCTTGCGGCAAAAACTGGAAGCTCCTTTCGGGGTCCGTACAGCGCCAATTAGGCCGGTGGCAAAACGCTCAAACTGCTAGCCAAACAGTGGCGCCTCTTGCGGCAAAAACTGGAAGCTCCTTTCGGGGTCCGTACAGCGCCAATTAGTGCGGTGGCAAAACGCTGAAACTACTAGCCAAAATTACCGACAGCTGATTTTGGCTAACAGTTTGAGCGTTTTGTCACCGGATTAATTGGCGCTGTACGGACCCCGAAAGGAGCTTCCAGTTTTTGCCGCAAGAGGCGCCACTTGTCGCAAATGGCGCGAAATACGAAGTAAGATTTAATGTTAACTTTGTGTTTATAGGATCTTAACTTGTGGAATATTTTAAAGGCAACATTGTTGACTGCTTATGTCACTCCATAATTATCACTTCCTGAGATCACTTGAATGACTTGCATTATCGTGTAATGATGGACAATTAGTAAAAAAGTGGGAGTGGGGAACAGAGAAAAGGATATATAAAGGAAATTACTTACAAGAAAAGCTAGTTTATTACACGTATCTATGTCTGTATTTAATCGTCACGGCCGGCTTCTTCGATAAGTTATCTCTTTCAGGAATATACACATATGTCCATGTAAATATGATTGGATTTTTTGTCAACACAATAAAATACTAATGATAAAATATATTTTTTCAGATTATTAGGAGCTATAAAACTTCATCGGTCAGTTGAAACTGTTGCTAAATCATTTTACGGAGTTTACGGAGCACATTTCAGCACAATGGTTAAGGCGAAAAAGTATGTGTTGGTGAAACATTTCCAAGGGGAACCAAAACCTACTGATCTACAATTAGTGGAGGAAGAACTGCCTCCTATCAAAAATGAGGGTAAGTAATGTATTCTTCACATACATCGTAATACTCAACATTTATAAAAATTAAAGATTACATACAAGGTGTCCCTGAAAGGTATGTAGAAGCGGGCACCAGATGATTCCTCATAAAAATCATGAAAATAATGTGAAATAAGATTTTTGGTTTGAGACTTAGTTTTCGAGAAAATCAAGTTTGAAAATTGGATTTATAAATACGCTCTGGCGGCTATAGGCGTGTACGTCACTTGACGAATCACATCTTAATCGCAATTGTGTATATACAAAGAGAATTTTTAAACAGAGTTTTCTCGAAAACTAGGTCCCAAACAAAAAAATGTTATTCTATATTTTGTTCATCTTCTTTTTATGAGGAATCACCTGTTGCCCACTGGTACATATCTTTCAGGGACACCATGTTTATTGTTATCTTATCTCTACTATCGATTATGTAAAAAGTAATTAAGATGTTTCAAGTATGATGTAATTAAATAATTAAGATGTTTAAAGTTTTCAATGTAAATTGCGGGAAAATATGCAGATGACACTAACTATTTGTAATACATCGATTTTATTGAAATTTTTCATTGATCTCGATTTTCGCGTGTAAATTTCATTAAAACCATCATATTACATTTAGACGAAATCCCATGTTAGTTTAACGTTTAAAGCATGAATAATGTAACATGTAACTTTCATTGTTCTCTCCTTGCTTATTTCACAGAGATTTCTAAACATGTTTCTTAATGTTAAATTATGTTCTTTAGAATTCCTGGTTCAGGCAGAATTCCTTTCGGTGGATCCTTATATGCGACCATACACTCTTAGATATCCAACTGGGATTACAATGATTGGTACACAAGTGGCTAAAATATTAGAATCTAAGAATTCAGAGTATCCAGTGGGAAAAAGAGTTGTTGGTTATTTTGGGTGGAGAACGCACACAATTGTTAATCCAAAGAACTTCAGTGACACAGACATGCTGAATCAGAAGCCGCTTCTTTTGCCAGATATTGGAAATCTTTCACCTTCCCTATGTTTAGGAGCTTTGGGAATGCCAGGGTACACACAGCTTATAATAATCTTTTACTACGTTTATAAATAATAGTCAGTGCACTTGAAATTTTAATCTTCTTGTTTCAGAAATACAGCATATTTTGGCTTCATAGATATCTGTGCGCCGAAAAAAGGTGAAACACTTGTTGTAAGCGGTGCTGCAGGAGCTGTTGGTTCTCACGTTGGTCAAATAGGAAAAAATGTTCTTGGGATGAACGTTATTGGCATTGCTGGTTCTGATGAAAAATGTAAATGGTTGGTTGATGAGCTTGGCTTTGACCATGCCATTAACTACAAAACTGAGAATGTTAAAACTGCATTGAAAAAAGTAGCACCAAAAGGAGTCGATTGTTACTTTGACAATGTAAGATTAAAGGATATATTTAAAAAAATTAATAAATTAATTTGTTATATAATTCTGGCTGCATAAAATATTTGATTCTCATCAGGTGGGAGGAGATATTTCCAGTACAGTGATTTATCAGATGAACACTTTTGGCCGTGTTTCCGTATGCGGAAGTATTTCTTCATACAATGAAGATCCTGCATCTCTGCCTAAAACGGTTGTACTTCAGCCGGCTCTTGTATTCAACCAGTTAAAATTAGAAGGCTTCATTGCAACTCGTTGGACCAATCGTTGGATGGAAGGAATATATAAAAATCTTCAATGGATACAGGAAGGAAAAGTTAAAACTCGCGAAACTGTTACCAAAGGTTTCGAAAATATGTTTGAAGCATTTAGTGGCATGTTAAAGGGTACAAATACCGGTAAAGCTATTGTACAAGTTTAAAGAAAATATTTTTGCAAAAGAACTTGTTTTGATCTTATTGTATTTATCCAAAACTTACCCGAAACTCAGATCTACAAACTTCAATGCTCGTTTACGACTGTTCTCGCCCAAGTAATCAACTGCTCTTTTTAGTATAATTGCTTAATATAATTACATTACTGCCATTACATTATATAAATAAATCGTCAGGCCAACTGGAAAAGAATATCAAATTGGTGTAAATATTATAACTGCAATACGTGCTTCTGAAGTACGTGAAGTATTTGTGTACATATTTATATGAAAATAACCAAAGTAATTTTGGATATTTGTCTGCGTTCGAGGTTCAAATAATAAAATATTTCATACATTCGTTACACGAATATTGTGTATAAGTCATTTCAATAAAAATTAGTTGAGAAAAAGGATTTAGAAGACTTCGCTACACATTTATACCGTTTTATTTATTTATGATTCAATTTTGGCAGTGTAATTTATTTCATACTTCGTTACTACTTTAATACAAAATATTTACAATTGCTTGAGAGTCGGTGACTTTTAATCAAGGCTGATGGCACTGTTTGTACCTGTTACCTTTAATAATCTATCAGAACTTTTTGATAGACGTAACCTTTCTTCTGGTTTTAAGATTTCTGCTATTAGCTTCTCATCGCTACGTCGTTCGGAATTCCTCAAAACTTCTTGCACTTTATTGCATTGCTGTGTTTTGCAAGAATCGCCTCCTGCCTCTTCGGTAACAACATCCAATTGGGTTACTTCGATCTCAGAAAAAGTTAGTCTTCCATTGATTTTTGTTTCTGAAGGCACAAGGAGCTTCGGTTCAGGTGCCGTAGGAATAGGCGATTTCGACAATTTTTCCTCTTTACTGTTTTTTAATTTCAGAATATTGGATGGTTCTACGTACAGCTACATTATAAAATTATTATTATAGAAATTTCTTTATCACGTTGTACAAATAAAATAAAATATTAATAAACTCACTGCATCAAATGTAGTATCTAGAAACAATTCCTGTAAAAATCGTCGTGCTGGCATTCTGTAAGTACCGCTACCTAAACGAGTTGCTACGTCCGAGAACAGACAAGTATCCTATACAACATTAATAATACTGATATAGTATAATGAGATTTCATATTTGTTCCAGTATATTAATCTCTACACGTACTTGAAATGTTTCTGAATGCAGTTGCCGTAGTCTAAGCAGGGTTTGTTGACTGTGTCTGTACCATAGAGGATTCGCTAACCGCTGTGCGTGTCTAAGTATTATCCTAGATGATGAAAGTCGTATATTATCCAAATTAATCTTTAAGTATCGTTTAAAAATCTCTCTTCAAGATATATAAATATATTATTAGGGAATTTATATTTTATCTCTCTAAAGATTCCATGAAAGATATGATTGCGCCCTCTAGAAATTAGAACGGTACTACTGGGAACTATATAACCTAACCAACAGCTTAAATTTCTTATTGGCATATTTTTGTCACGTTTTTTTTTTTTTTTATTATAACTGCTAATATAGTCTAGATTTCTGTTTTCGGAAAACAGACCGTATCACCACTGAAATCTTACTCTACCCATTGTATCACATAAATGTTAGATTTGGAGGATATACTTACACTTTGTATAAGTATAACAAAATAATTCTACCTTTGCAATTTAGCATCTTGATCCGAAATCGAATCTTTGTGGTTATTCTTGCCAAGGCAGCATACCAAACATATACGACAATGGTCCGCGTCTGCGTCGTACTCTGAACAGGATTCTTCATCTACTTCAGTCGTTTCTATATCGGATTTAGGTATGTCGTCGGTTATAGACAAAATCGACGGCTGTGGTAGTTCCGGAAATATAGTTATAAGTCTCCTTGGAAGAGCAATACCCATGTAAAATAAATTATCGTTATTATCTTCAGGGGGTGGAGGAGTTGGAGTGTACACGTGTTCCGCAATCCAGCTGCGAGACGAATCGAATTCTAATAAACTTTGCAACGAAAGACGACCATCTAAACTGTACATCTGAAAAGAGATATCAGATAACTTATTGATATAACGTTATTCCTTCAATGTGATATATTCCATGAATTGTATTGCTTACCTCTAAACTACTTTGAGAATAACTTGGTCGACGATGACGCTGCATGCTACGGAGTTTTGCGTATCCCTCGGCATCTTGTTGGCTCAATCTTTGAATACTGGAAACAGGACTTGGCGTTTCACCTCTTTCCCTATAAAAAAATATATATATTGTTAAATAGTAGAACTAGCATGCTAGTTAACAGAAAATTCTCGTATCCTAAAATAAAGCTTACGGTAGAGCAAATCGCCTTGCTTCGAGATCTGTAGCTGCACTTTCAGATCGATTCCTAGTTCTTCGTGCCACTGGTTCAGGTAATTCTGGTTTGCCATCGCTAAGACTTCTATGATGCCGCTGTATCGGAATAGGACTCGGGGCTGGATATTTGCTTGTAGGAGGCACAACAGGCCAGTGATCACCGCGTCTGTGTCGAACACACGGCCAGTCAAAGGAGGACAAAGCATCAGCGCCCGCACGAGTAGTTCCGATAAGGCTAAGAGCGTACATAGCTGTCGCTCGTATCGCATAATATAAACAGGTTTCTGCAATGGATGTTATCAATTCTATAGTTCCCAAATGATTTAATTGTTCCACACCTGCGACTGATGTTCCTACATGACCGAGCACCCACAACGCAGACTTCACTCTCAAAATCTTCTTATTTAAACTGACATTTTGCTCGTCACGAGATTTAGTTTCCAGTCTCCAACTCCTTTCGGTAGCGTTACGCCTCGAATCGTCCAAACTTGTTTTACGACGCACTTCCACCACAGGATCAACTTTTTGAGGACTGCACACGTCCGTCGTTTCTGCTACTTCAGAATCCATTATTGTTTCCAATCGATTCGATTCTACCGTCTCATCCGTACTAGATTCTTCAGACATGACGCAAACGTCGTCGCTGACGGAACAATTGGCTTTGGTGCATCTTGAGTTCGATTCTGAATCTGTACTACCGACTTCCATCCGGAATCGTTGAACAACTCGAGCGAAACGTTGTATTACATTTCGTCGTAAAAGCAGTTGCATGCCTAGATCATGTTGTGCCAATTGTCCTACTAAGTGTGGCAGGATGAAAATATCATGAGGCACCATGGGAACATTGGTCGTTCTTCTGTGATAACTTCCGGTCTCATCTCTTTGACGGCGCGTTAAACAGTCGTGTATTTCTCCTTCTATTAAGCCAACATACCTCTCTGCAAAACCACCAGGACATATCCATTTTTCTAATTCTTCGGTGGGCGAGGTGAGCGATGTGAAGCCATGATGAAGAGAGTAAAGACGAATTTTCAACAAGTAACCTTTGTCACCTAACTCCTCAAGCCATTTACTCCAATCTCGAGATTGACCTTCTTGTTGCAATAGAGCTTCTAAATATTCTGGCTCTTCGCAAGCTTCGTGTAATGCCTCTAAAGCAGTTAATGCTACAGTTTTACTGGAGTCGGACAATCTAGTTGTTAGTAATGTTATTGCCCACTTATAGGCATCAGACATTCTGGCTCTGAGTATCAATCTAAGGAACTGTGTAGCATATAGTCTTGTACCTTCTGATGTTGCTCCAGTAATAATCTTAGTCATTACTTTCCTATTAGGTCCGTCTCTGGAATAATCTAAACTTGAAACTATAAGTTTAACATAACAGTCATGATTAGTAGCTAAAGCTAAGTCTTGCAACTTCTCTAATAAATTAAATCCATTTAGAATTACAGTCCCTTTTGCTGATTGACTTAATTGCCCAAGAAATAAAAAATACTTCTGACAACAAGTGGTAGACATATGTCGAGGTGAAAATAGACACTCGTGAGCAGATTGAGCTGTCCGTAAACAGGCAATTTGCTCGGCTATATCTCCGATTAATTCGCTCAATAATTTCGAACCTTCCGGTTCGTGTAGCTCTAATAAACAGTTCAATAAATCACAACCAGCTAATGTTGCTTCTCGTGCTAAATTGGCATTTGTTGCTAGCTCTATCCTACTATATCCATTAGAACACGGTTTAAAGTAACGTACAAGTCTCTTCATGAACAGTCTGTGATCGGAATCATGAAGAGTTCGTATTATGTCTTCTCGTGAACGTAATATAGATCGCACCACCGGCCAGTTCCATGCAAGAGCATCTTTCGAACTGAGTACTTGAGCATCCTTTAAAAGAGGCGTAGTTGGTGATTCTCTGCGTAGCCAATGTCTACTGGAAGTTCGTTGACGTCTTGGTAAGGTTGGTCTCAACCATGTACCAGCTTGTAGGATTTTGTCAAGAAACAAACTAGCTGGTGCCGGTCTTCGACGCATCATAGTGTGCATTCGTTCCAAAATAGTTACAGCTGCTAATGCTTGATGCTTTCCAGTACTCGCATGTTCTAATAAATTCGGTAACGGCGGCGTGAGATCACATACTTCGGGTGGCAGTAAAGAATGTGCGAGGTGCAATAACGCACCTAAAAGAACAGCAGCACGTACAGAAATAAATGTATCAGTGGAGACAATAGTCTCTGCAAGAGCATGATGTAAGCCACATTCCAGTAGAGCGTAGACCAATAAGGCTAAATGAATTTCTGTTATGTTTGGACAACGTGATGATAAAGGTGGTAAAATATATTTTCCCTCGGCAGCGACGAAACCTTCTGATAATTTCCACGAATCACGTGTTCTGCTGGGATCTACCGCAGCAAGAGCAACATCGGGTTCGTCCGTCCATGTCGGTAATGGTAGATCCAACAATTCATAAAGTAGTTCTAATACAGCACCTCTTACTTCGAGTTGTTCGACGTACAATATATCTGCTATAGCTTTCAGACCAGAGTTATCGTCTGGGCGACAGAAATGTAGAACACCGGAGTAAGATCTTAATATACTTAATAATGCTAATTTACTTGCTGCAAATCTTTCTCGTTCTTCTTTTGTTCCATCTATACTCAATGAATGTAACTCGCAATAAGGAGCTGCGAAACATAGAAGAGAAACGCTGTTTCTAGTTTCTGGAGTATTTAATAATTTTAATAGAACTCCTACAACTGATTCAATTATAGCAGGACTTTGCCCAGTCATGGCAGCTCTTCCAAGAGCACCGATTCCTCCGCAACTGATTAATAAATTTGAATTTAAAACTCCCAACTCGCACAGAGTTGCCAAGAATGCTCGAAATGCTCCATCTTTCTCTTCAATTCCTCCATTTATCAGGCTGATTAAAGATCTTGCTAAAATAGGACTAAAATGTTTCGGAGCTAATACTAGAATTCGTCTAACCAGTCTAAGAGCCTGTAGCCCCTCCATTTCGTTTCGTAAATTAACATCCATGCTACGAGCCACAAAATATGGATATTGCAATTTGTTAATTGCAATAACATCTTGTTCTTTCTTGAGCATATATCGAACTGCTCGCAATGCGGCAGCACGAACTTGTGTCGCTTCATGGACAAGACCCACGCGTAGACTATAAAATTAATATACAATATGTTAATAGTTTATAACAATCTTATATTATATGTAATTAATACTCTTGTTACCAGCAGAAAACATCATCGATAGAATATCCATAATCCGGCGAATCATTTTCACTGATCAGTTTAACAATTGCATTGAGATATGCTAATTTCTTTATGCTTGGTATATTGTTACGTTGACAGAGATTGGTCAAAACTTCTTTCACATTCTCCTTTAGTCCTATAAAGTAAATTCATTTCTTATCGTTATTAAAATCTATTTGTATAAACTATACGGACGCATGTAAAAACGATTTTGATTATTGCAAAACTTAAAAACATTGACAGAAAGAAAATGATTTTTAATACTCCTTGAATGGTCAAATTTAATTTTTAAATTATGCATTTTACTATTTTTCAACGAAAATGACTATTCCATTAGAAGATGCTAGTGATAGATAAATACACATGCGTAATAATAAGATTGCCTATGCGAGATGCCTTATCAGACTATTATGGATAGAAAGTTGCAGGCGACAGGTTAAGTTACTAACCTCTTGACAGATCAAGTTGCACGCAGCTGTCTTCATTGTTTGGACGGCCTATAAAAAGAGCACACGAATAGAAAACAAGCGTATCTTTGATATCAAGAATTTGTCAACCGATATTTAACGTACGATGGCTCATACGAAGGTTTCTACCCCAAATCTTCCAATTATGAAATGCCATTTCTTTACCGGCTGCTACCCACGATCACAGTCAACACTTTTTGTCCGATTGTTATTAAGGGTTTTTTGCGTGGTATATGACATTCTCATTGTTAACCCGAACCCCGAAACACTATAAATGCACTACTGATAAATCAAGTGTAACACAAGTAAAGCGTTATATGAGAACGTTGCACACAACGTACCGCACTCTTCGGGAAAATTGTAGGTACCTGAGAAAGTTGCAAGAGTCACGATAAACACGTGATCGAAGGTTGAGTGCGCTTTCTGTATCTAATTTTGCGTGAAAACTTTCGAACCGTTACCCTTCCTATTTAAATCTTTGTATCACGTATGCATGTACAATGTAGTAAACTAGACAAAAAACTTGAAACATCAAATGCGTTTCCAAAGATTACAACGTATGTTTCCTAGAGCAAATACACACAACATCGCACGCTGACACAAACTCCACAGGTTCGAAACATTTGATTTGAAAGGATTCAAATTATGTTATTATGCACTAAACTCCGCTTCGCCGTTATATCTTGTACCTCATAACATAACACAGTTTAAGGTATATACGTCGATCGACTTAAAATTCACTACTTTTTGTATGACATTGCATTTTTAAAAATCGTAGTACACGTTCCTTTAAAATGAAATGAAATACATTAACCTTTAAACTTGCGTTTTATCCTGATTAACATTTCATTTTTTGTTGTAAAAATGATTATATATTTTGTGGTTAATACGTTCCTTTAAATGCACGTTCGTTTCATTCGCGCCATAACCTAACCAATTATTTATTGTACATATATCCGACAATTGTATTTCGTTCTCCTAATCGAAATATACATGTTGCAAGCAATGTTTACGATGTATAGTTGGTTACATAAAAGCACACTTTTATCAAATATAATAACAAAGATGGATTTGTGTAGAATTTCGCATATCATTATACATACATTCTATTTGCTCTATATAAATACATACGATGCATTTTGTATGTATTAGTTATACAGATTGTCCTTGTGCAGAAATAATAAAATACATTATACATACATATATCTCATTTTAATAATCTGGGAATCGGTAGAAATGCGAATTCTGTCTTACACCACGATTATTAATGATAAATTGTATGTACAATTTAGCAAATTATGTTTCTCTACTAAAATTGATTAAAATTGATCATACTGTTGTTACGTTTTGGAAATGTAAGAGAATACGTATTGTATAGAAGAATTAACAATTAATAAGATAATTTATAAATTGAATGCATACAGTCCGTACGTACATGTGTACATTCGTATGTATTCATATATGTATATATAATATGTGCGTGTGTGTTTGTACATATGTACAGTAATCTCTCAATTCAAGAACCATACCCGGGGGTAACGAGGTTCTTGAATTGAGAGAATGCAGCGAATTGCTGTGCCCTCATTGGCTGATGATTTGCAGTTAAACAGTGCTGCCCTCATAGTCAACGACAAAGAGAAGACAAATGATTCGTGCCGCTTCTCTCGTAAGAAGCAATGGAACATTCGGCACGAATTTTCTGCTGCTTTCAAACAGCCTAAAAGCGCCAATTTCGAGCAGCGGCAAAACGCTCAAACTGTTCGCCAAGCAACAGTTCCCTGCAATTCGTCGCGTGGTAACACTGCGTGCGCGCGACATCTGTCGGCGAGTGTACCCAGTCTGCGGCGGAAACTTAAATCAATACTCGCCGACAGATGTCGCGCGCATCAGTGTTACCGCGCGGCGAATTGCAGGGAACTGTTGCTTGACGAACAGTTTGAGCGTTTTGCCGCTGCACGAAATTGGCGCTGTTAGGCTGTTTGAAAGCAGCAGAAAATTCGTGCCGAATGTTCCATTGCTTCTTACGAGAGAAGCGGNCGCGCGACATCTGTCGGCGAGTGTACCCAGTCTGCGGCGGAAACTTAAATCAATACTCGCCGACAGATGTCGCGCGCATCAGTGTTACCGCGCGGCGAATTGCAGGGAACTGTTGCTTGACGAACAGTTTGAGCGTTTTGCCGCTGCACGAAATTGGCGCTGTTAGGCTGTTTGAAAGCAGCAGAAAATTCGTGCCGAATGTTCCATTGCTTCTTACGAGAGAAGCGGCACGAATCATTTGCTGCGATATCGAACGATTGAACATAAAACTGAAAATTGCTTATCACTAATTAATTACAATTNAAAGGAACATACTCCTTTTCCCAAGGCTTTGCAGCCAATATGTCCTGTTGCTCTTTCCGATCATATCTATAAATTTCATCAACAGTGCTGATCATTTCAATATTATTTGACATTTCCCATGTTTTTTGTGCGATATTATTTTGCTCTGAAGAAGTACTGGCCATGTTAACAAACTTCTGCCAGATACAAGATTTTTGGCTACATGAAACCGTAGCAATACAACAAATTAGATGTTAAATAAATAATTTTACTTTTGGTGCCATAATAACACATCAAATCAATGACTACAATTACTGTGTAGATAATTTTAAATTATCTAATATTAATGTGTGTGTTTAATGCAATAAATAGTAATGACAATTAAATTATGTTCGCTTATCCTTACCAAAAAATCTATAATACGGTGTTTAAAAATATTTAAAAATCATACTCCGATTACAACTGTGGTTATGAATAGTGACTGCAACACATTTGTTTTCAGTCCATTCACGCACATCAATGTACATACATATGACAGCCCTGACCACACTAATGTATTTGTACAACAATAGACCTCCACCATAAAGTATATAATGCATAGAGTGTTGTTACAGATTTAAAACAGTATTAAATTCCTACCACTAGATGGTATTAATATGCATTTCTGGCGCTGGCTTTATTAAACAATTCAATGCATGTATGTACATACAAATTTAAAAAGAAACATATACATATATATATATATATATATATATATATAAACTTGATTAGTTAATACTAATACCGAATACTCTTACTCCTTTCCTCTTTCATCCTATCTCACTCTCTCTCTCTCTGAGATCAATTAGTTTATTTATACAAAACCCCGCAAACTCTCTTTTACCATTGAAAACTCTAGAATAGATCTCTAGCAACGCATTGATAACAATTTTAAGCGCATGCAAATTGTAATTAATTAGTGATAAGCAATTTTCAGTTTTATGTTCAATCGTTCGATATCGCAGCAAATGATTCGTGCCGCTTCTCTCGTAAGAAGCAATGGAACATTCGGCACGAATTTTCTGCTGCTTTCAAACAGCCTAAAAGCGCCAATTTCGAGCAGCGGCAAAACGCTCAAACTGTTCGCCAAGCAACAGTTCCCTGCAATTCGTCGCGTGGTAACACTGCGTGCGCGCGACATCTGTCGGCGAGTGTACCCAGTCTGCGGCGGAAACTTAAATCAATACTCGCCGACAGATGTCGCGCGCATCAGTGTTACCGCGCGGCGAATTGCAGGGAACTGTTGCTTGACGAACAGTTTGAGCGTTTTGCCGCTGCTCGAAATTGGCGCTTTTAGGCTGTTTGAAAGCAGCAGAAAATTCGTGCCGAATGTTCCATTGCTTCTTACGAGAGAAGCGGCACGAATCATTTGCTGCGATATCGAACGATTGAACATAAAACTGAAAATTGCTTATCACTAATTAATTACAATTTGCATGCGCTTAAAATTGTTATCAATGCGTTGCTAGAGATCTATTCTAGAGTTTTCAATGGTAAAAGAGAGTTTGCGGGGTTTTGTATAAATAAACTAATTGATCTCAGAGAGAGAGAGAGTGAGATAGGATGAAAGAGGAAAGGAGTAAGAGTATTCGGTATTAGTATTAACTAATCAAGTTTATATATATATATATATATATATATATATGTATATGTTTCTTTTTAAATTTGTATGTACATACATGCATTGAATTGTTTAATAAAGCCAGCGCCAGAAATGCATATTAATACCATCTAGTGGTAGGAATTTAATACTGTTTTAAATCTGTAACAACACTCTATGCATTATATACTTTATGGTGGAGGTCTATTGTTGTACAAATACATTAGTGTGGTCAGGGCTGTCATATGTATGTACATTGATGTGCGTGAATGGACTGAAAACAAATGTGTTGCAGTCACTATTCATAACCACAGTTGTAATCGGAGTATGATTTTTAAATATTTTTAAACACCGTATTATAGATTTTTTGGTAAGGATAAGCGAACATAATTTAATTGTCATTACTATTTATTGCATTAAACACACACATTAATATTAGATAATTTAAAATTATCTACACAGTAATTGTAGTCATTGATTTGATGTGTTATTATGGCACCAAAAGTAAAATTATTTATTTAACATCTAATTTGTTGTATTGCTACGGTTTCATGTAGCCAAAAATCTTGTATCTGGCAGAAGTTTGTTAACATGGCCAGTACTTCTTCAGAGCAAAATAATATCGCACAAAAAACATGGGAAATGTCAAATAATATTGAAATGATCAGCACTGTTGATGAAATTTATAGATATGATCGGAAAGAGCAACAGGACATATTGGCTGCAAAGCCTTGGGAAAAGGAGTATGTTCCTTTCATATATCAATAGAATTATATTATTTACTACTTATTACTTATTAGATTTTTCAATATATATATATATATATATACATTAATTTTACAGCCCACACTTCTTTAAAGATATAAAAATTTCTGCGTTGGCATTATTAAAAATGGTTATGCATGCTCGTTCTGGTGGCACTTTGGAAGTGATGGGTCTTCTTCTTGGAAAAGTAGCAGCAAATACAATGATTGTTATGGATTCTTTTGCATTACCTGTGGAAGGAACAGAAACAAGAGTTAATGCTCAAGCCCAAGCTTATGAATATATGTCCGCTTATGTAGAAGCTGCTAAGCAGGTGATTTTGATATTTCAGAAAATATTGAAAGTATTATTTTAAAAGAATATCAAATTTGAGAATCCATTCCTTTTGTATACAATATCTGTGCAACATTTGAGGTTCATTGAATCGAATGGTTTTAAAGTTCTATCCGATTTTTATTCTGGCTGTATGGTAAAATTAATGTTTATAATTTGTATCTGCAAGTTATGTTTATATTTTGCTGTTGAAAGGTTGGAAGACAAGAGAATGCAATTGGATGGTATCATAGTCATCCTGGATATGGTTGTTGGTTATCAGGTATCGATGTATCTACTCAGATGCTCAATCAAAATTTTCAAGAACCCTTTGTTGCTATTGTTATCGATCCTGTGAGGACAATATCTGCTGGAAAAGTTTGTTTGGGTGCATTTCGAACTTATCCAAAGGTAATATATTTGATATAGACGAATAAAAAAATCTTGTGAAAAGCAATAAGAAATTTAATGAACTATCTGATTCTTTTATAGGGATATAAGCCAGCAAATGAAGAACCATCGGAATACCAAACAATTCCATTAAACAAAATCGAAGATTTTGGAGTTCATTGCAAACAATATTATTCATTAGAAGTGTCTTACTTTAAATCATCATTAGATAGGCGATTATTAGATTCTTTGTGGAATAAATATTGGGTGAACACATTAAGTTCTTCCAGCCTTTTAACAAATGCGGACTACACAACGGGACAAATATTTGATTTATCGGACAAATTAGAACAGTCAGAAGTTGCACTTGGAAGAGGATTTATTTTAGGTGGAACGGATCCCCATGATCGATGTTCGGTAGAAAAACTAATTAAAGCAACAAGAGACAGTTGTAAGACAACAATTGAAATTATCCATGGTTTAATGGCACAAATAATTAAAGACAGATTATTCAATCAAGTTGGTTGTAAGAATACTGCTGATGTTCAACAGCAACAACAGTGAATTCTATGTATAAAGTATAAATANTAAGCAGGTGATTTTGATATTTCAGAAAATATTGAAAGTATTATTTTAAAAGAATATCAAATTTGAGAATCCATTCCTTTTGTATACAATATCTGTGCAACATTTGAGGTTCATTGAATCGAATGGTTTTAAAGTTCTATCCGATTTTTATTCTGGCTGTATGGTAAAATTAATGTTTATAATTTGTATCTGCAAGTTATGTTTATATTTTGCTGTTGAAAGGTTGGAAGACAAGAGAATGCAATTGGATGGTATCATAGTCATCCTGGATATGGTTGTTGGTTATCAGGTATCGATGTATCTACTCAGATGCTCAATCAAAATTTTCAAGAACCCTTTGTTGCTATTGTTATCGATCCTGTGAGGACAATATCTGCTGGAAAAGTTTGTTTGGGTGCATTTCGAACTTATCCAAAGGTAATATATTTGATATAGACGAATAAAAAAATCTTGTGAAAAGCAATAAGAAATTTAATGAACTATCTGATTCTTTTATAGGGATATAAGCCAGCAAATGAAGAACCATCGGAATACCAAACAATTCCATTAAACAAAATCGAAGATTTTGGAGTTCATTGCAAACAATATTATTCATTAGAAGTGTCTTACTTTAAATCATCATTAGATAGGCGATTATTAGATTCTTTGTGGAATAAATATTGGGTGAACACATTAAGTTCTTCCAGCCTTTTAACAAATGCGGACTACACAACGGGACAAATATTTGATTTATCGGACAAATTAGAACAGTCAGAAGTTGCACTTGGAAGAGGATTTATTTTAGGTGGAACGGATCCCCATGATCGATGTTCGGTAGAAAAACTAATTAAAGCAACAAGAGACAGTTGTAAGACAACAATTGAAATTATCCATGGTTTAATGGCACAAATAATTAAAGACAGATTATTCAATCAAGTTGGTTGTAAGAATACTGCTGATGTTCAACAGCAACAACAGTGAATTCTATGTATAAAGTATAAATATCATTAAAAAAAGTTATTGTAATAATATGTGCGACATGTAATTAATGTACGGAAAATTTGTAATAACAACGAAATACGCGTAAGCGCTTCATTTGTATTTCTTTTTTATTACAAGTGTTACTTTCTTCGTAGTAATATACAGTTTAATAAAAACTATCCCGTATTGATGACAACAAAAGTGAAATATTAATAATAATATTTTAGAAGATTAATGGAATAAAAATACATTTTATTTTCACACCTTGATTCTAGAAAGTATATATACAGTATCTGTATCATTATTCAATATCTTCACAGTTGATAAATATATATATATATATTTTTATATATATATATATATATTTATAAAACTAATATAATATTGAGAACAAGTAGGCAGAGTACACACCCCACTGAAGGGCTGACACTGTGTCACAGACTTAGGACAAGGCCACTCAGAAACACACCCACCTGTTCTAGAATTATACACTTCTGCATTCATAGCGCACAACATATAAGGGACGGAGCTAAAATGCATACAATTATACTGATAATATACTTACTGGTATGTTATGATATTTACGATCTTAAGAGAAATTCAGTTGAAACATAGTGAAATTCTTTTTCAGTTGTTCAGCCAAAATACTAGATTCTTTTTTTATATTATTAGACCTATTGATACTTAAAAAACTATATATTCATATAATATTATATTAAAGTAAATTAAATACAATTTTAAGTACAACTGTGTATCTTATAACTTCATTTACATAAAATCTTGAAAAAAAAATATATGCAAGATCACTATTGCTACCTCTTACGCATCTCACTTTTATTTGATGTAGACGTACAATTTTCGTCGAGCTTTTTTTGTTTCCCAGAAGAAGTGAAATGTGTATAAAAAAATATCAATTTTTTCAAACGTAGTTCATTTCACCCGTACAATTTTCAAGTTTATTAAATTGTAAGAGAGGAAATCGTGAGCTTAGTCGAACTTAACATTTCAGTATAAATATTTGAAGAAGTTCTATAATAAAAGGAATGTAAAAATACTTTTCTGTATCATAATGTTTATTTAAACTTTGACTCTGTACGAAAAATTTTTGACTGTATCTGACGAAAATCACGTCATTTGAAAACAATAAAAAAATCATTTCATCAATAATCTTAAAAGTAGCATTTAAAATCAAATAGCATTTTTAATAATTTTCAGATAATATTCACATTATATTGCAATATAAAATTTACGTATGAAAAAAGTTTATTTAACTCTAGAAGTAATAATTGTTGAATTTTATTTTCAGGATTACTTTGATAAACATGTGATATACTTTTGAAGCAATATTTTGCCTATATATGTATTAATGTTTCTGAGAATTTCACTTTTCTTACGAGAAAGAAATTTGTCAATATTTAATACAATTTAATTAACGAATCTGCCTTTAACAAATGATACGACAATCAGCCCTCCAATCACAAACATCAGACATAAAAGACGTAAATGTGGAGTGTAACAAATATACACGCTACATGTACATGTATTTATACATATATTCCCCCTCTTAAACAAAATTTTTGTGTGATAGAAGCAGAAGATTTTCTATTAATTATTGAAATGTCAATTATATTATAAATACATATAGAGTAAAGAACCCCATTTTACACTCTTTATAATAAGAATTTAATCACTCCTATATTACTGCAATTATTTATGTATTTACAAGGCATTTGTGTTCATTTATTACTTACAAATATAGGTAGAAAAGATCAGTTATTACAGCAAGATTCGAGTGCTTGTCGTTGATAATTGGGCAGCAACATTTTAACAGACAAACACCTTTTACTATTAATATTTAAATGATTTTACTATGTTCTGCTGTGTATCTGTTTTGCAATCAGTTTCATTTTAAAACTAAA